CCAGTGCCAATTCCAAAGAATGCCCCTTGTCAGGGGCCATTCCGAACAACCTGGTTAGGGTCATTCTCATCCATTTCCTTCGGACAGCCTGGTTAGGGTCATCCTTATCCATTTCAATCGGACAACCTGGTTAGGGTCATCCTTATCCATTTCCATCGGACAACCTGGTTAGGGCCATCCTTGTCCATTTCCATCGGACAGCCTGGTTAGGGCCATCCTTATCCATTTCCATCGGACAGCCTGGCTAGGTCCATCCTTATCCATTCCAACGTTAGGGCCCGAGGGGTTGGGCCTCGAGGACACGGATCCTATCTCTGTCTCGGAGTTTAGAAGGTGGCCATCTCTTTGGTTTTTACGCATGCCTCTTCCCCTTTCCCATGCCAATCATCATTCTTATGTCCATTCATACACCCGACTTAGCGTCTAGTGCTCAATTTGAGGCTCATGACCCTAAGCAGCACTAGCCCGCTCGACCGTTCAACCATTACGGAAAATGCTTGCTCAATCAATGTTTCCTCTCTCTGACCTCTCATGCCGTTTCACTTCTCTGGACTTGCCCGAGATAGGTTGGATTAGGCTCCTAGGGAAGAGGATTCTTCATGCCTCTTTACCCATAGGTCCCCTAACCGCTCACAGAAACTCATACCCCGACTCATTCATCCAAAGACACGCATTGCACAAAAACTCTTTTGCCATAGACTTTCTTTAATCTCAACGATTCACACGCTCTTGCCCTTTCCCAGAACAGAATTAACCATTCCCAGTTCGTCTCTCACCAACAGGATCCCCGCCTTTTCAAAGGAGTAAGTAGTTATGCAAAGTAGCACTGGCTACCTAGTCCCCGTTTACTTCCCCAATTTAAAGAGCAGCTTTGTCGCAGTTTTCCCAAAAAAAAGGAGACAAACTCGAATGCAAAGGCGACATCACAGACTTGTCTCATCTAGGTCCCCCCCCCCTCTCTTTCCTTTACTTTCAAACCAGGTCTTTCATAATGCTAGACTCAAGCTCATCGTCCCTCCTATCCTTCTGAAGAAGCAAATACTTATGCAAAGTAGCACTAGCTGCCCAGTCCTTAGTCATTGCCGGAGTGGAAAGCTGACCCATTGTGGTTTATCCAAAAAAAATCAAATACAAAGCCCAAAATGACAGTTCTTGCCTGCCCAGGCACCCATCTTCCCCATTTCCTAGCTATTCCCTGTTATGTCTACTGCCCCTGTACCGCCCCGTTGCCCTGTGCTGAGCTTCCCTTGCACGATCATCGATTTCCTGCTGCATCAATCTCTTCGTCCTTTGCAATTGAAGGAGCACCTCTTCTATGAAGAAGGTCGTAGGTGGCTATGTCTTCTCCTTAGCTCATCTTTTCCGTCCCTTTCATCGCCCACTCATATCGCAGAATACTGGCCCATTGATCGAACCAGTCGGTGCAAGATGGCCCGAACTCTCATATCCATTTGTCCTTTTCTTCACCTGGGTCCTCATCCCTTCCCCGTACCTCTCTCGTGGGCGTTGTGACCTCATAATCCTCTTCCTCACTGCTGAGGTCTATGACCTCGTTGGGCTCTTCCTCTTCCATCCGCTGCCTCTTCCCTAGGCTTCCATCCTCCTCACTACTGGTGTCACTGTCGGATGGGAGAACTATCGGTTCCCCCTCTCTCAGGGGAGAGGGCCCCCTAGTCCCTTGCTTCCTTCCCCCTCTGTTCACAACCAAGTTGAAGTCAAATCCCACATACAACTTCCTTTTCCTGGAACTTGATTCCCCAGCCTGTCTTGTTGCTTGTTCCCAGTAGGTCTGTTAATGGCATTGTCGTCATTTTCATTTCCAAATTCCATCTTTCGCCTTTTCCTGTTGCTTTCTCCTTCCCTGGTCCTGTTTATTCATAACAAGTCACAACATCCCTCGTACACACACACTCCCTTCCACTCCCATTTGCGAGTTTTACACGCTTGCCCAGAACCCTTGCTTGCCCCATATGATTGGTAGTCCCAGTATCCCCTTCCCAAAACTTTGGTACATTGTCCCGATCACATAAGTTTCTCATGTAGACAGTCCCCAAAATTGCCCCACAAAAACTATGGTACATTGTCCCAGGCTCCCAACCCCATTCATATTCAGCCCAGGCAGTCACCCCATGCCCCAAGTGACAGAAGACACAAAAACGAACAATTCCCTGCAATCATGATCACTTCCGCAGGGCGGCGGTACAAAACTTATGGCCAGCTGCCTGCCTTTCAAGTTGTCAATTCCCCTATTTCCTTATCCTGAGCCTCCTATAACCATTGCTCCACCGGATCTCTGCTCAAAAACCTGACCAGCCTCTGCCCCGGAGATGGCCCTTTCATCCCAGTACCATTGAGATCCTCAAGTTCAAACGTGTTCAATCCCACCCTCTTAGCGATCTTGTAGGGACCTTTGAACCTTTTTCCCAGCTGTCCAGACCACGTGCTTTCAAGAGCCGAGTTCCTAACGAGTACCTTCTCTCCCACCTGGAGCGACTCCTTCCGGATGTTCTTTACCTGGTCCCACCTTGCTTTGTCCCTCATTCGACTATCAATTACACGTTTAACCACCTCCTCCAAGGCTTCCTCATTTCTAACGATCTGTTGGCAACGTGCTCCGTAGACATGCGCGGATCGTCATCTAGCCTGTTCCGGGTAGGAACCAGGGCTTCCACCAGGAAATCAATTTCCCTCCCATACCAGAGTTCTACCGGAATGCATCCCGTCGTCCTTTTCGGCGCCATGTTCTCTGAGAAGACCGCTTGCTTAAACCACCAGTACCTTCCGAAGCACCCCTCCGAACCTTTTCTTTTTCAATCCACCGAACCACTTTGTTTCATGTTGATGCAACTGGTAAAAAACAAAGATGCAGTGGGAGACTGGTCCTCTAATGCAGGGGACCGGTACTCCAAGCAGGAGTGTTTTTTTTTTTTTCCCCTCTTTTTTTTGTTTTCTTTTTCCCTTCCCCTCTTGTCTTTTGCTCTCCCCTATGCACGGCCAGTACTGCGAGAAGGGGATCCGCTCAACCACTGACCACGTGCACGAAAGGCGACATTTACGGCACCGAAGATATGTTTTTCTTCAGGACAATGACCCACGCCACACACAAGAGGCAGAAATGATGGCAGCGTATCTTTCCATGTTCTTGTCGAATGTTCACTCACATTTTCCATATGTGGTGAGTGGTACGAGGAAACCTTTTTTTTCTTTTTTTTTTTGGAGACCATTTCTTGATTGACGTGTATCATGGTTACTGAGGGCTATGCTAATATCCTCTGTATCAGGTCACCTACCAGAGGGATATTCATTCGCTTCTTTTTTCTGGGACAATAAGGGTCTCGTAGTACTCTCCGCATGTACAAAGTACAAAAAAAATTGGCAATGTATCTTTCCATGTTCAAGGGAAGATTCATTTTCATTTTGCACATTTCATCAGCAGTGAGGTCTAGCAGCCTCGGTGCTGCAGATGCACAAAAGACAAAACGTATCTAGCCGGATCTCCGTTCCCCCCCCCCCCCC